TTTGGTTCCTTTGTAAGTATAACATAGAAAAGGTTTAAATCTTGTGTTTTCTTCTGCTGGTTTTCTATGTAGTGGGCAAGTTTGTTGATTCTCTCAGTTTTTTGTCTAATTTTTTGGCTCATAGGCTCAAATCTAACTCTTCGTGTTGCTTCATGATGTTCTCTCATGCGTATACTTGGATATCGTCTGTTAGAAATAATTTAAAGTTTCTAGATTTCTCTTAGAAGTGTCTTATGGTGTTCTAAGCGACTAGGTGCATTGTTATATTACTAGGCTTGGTACCCCGCGGTTCCGCGGGGTGGCAATTATGTATGTTAATGATATATGATTTTGATTGATTTGTATTGATATAAAACACTATAATTGATTTATATATATTGATTAGATGGATATAGAATTTTTATTTATTTGTATGTATTGGATGTAGATAGGATTTTTAGTGACTTGTATATTTTTTTGATATTTAATAAGTGAATAAATATAAAAAGAATTTGTAATTTTTTCATATTTAATATTTTTGGTATTATATATATTTTGGAGAAAATTAATAAATAAGCGAATAAATATAAAGAAGGAGGGAAAATTGTATACATAGAAATAGCATCAAAGTTATAATTATTTCATATAAATAACATATGTTACATGTTAATATAAAGTGGCATTATTGTGGTCGAGATGTTTGATTATGATTCTTGAATAAAGTTTCTACTGAACAGGTGCAGATGATAATTGTTTTGATTGAGGAGCGTGAATAGAATGACATTTCCTTCGTATAGGAAGTGTTTTTGTGCGAATGTTGGCCAACCTTCTGTTATTTCTATTCCTTCTAGTTGAAAGATCCATCGGGTTTTAGCGTAATAGCAATTGATGATTCCTGCGTCATTTGTTTGTATATGTGATGGTATATCACCGATGAGTACCTGAGATAGAAAAGGGGCAAAAAATGTGGTTGTATTATGAAAGGAGAATAGGAATGTATTGTATGAATTATATTGATTAGAATGTAATTTATATGAAACTGACCAATGATTCGAGATCGTCTGCTTTTAGCATTATATAAAATGAGAAGTGCGTCATTAGTCTTTCTTCTTCTGTGAAGAGCACTTTGGTTATAAGAAAAGGAAAGGGTTAATTTATTTTATAATAGAGAGATAAGATTGTTGTATAAAGAAAGAGTTGCTTACTGCATCCAATTGATGATTGTGAATGATTGAGGAGGATGTTCCATTCATGACAAGCTAAACAGTTATTTGGATTATATATGGCAACTCTAAAGACCATACATCCGATGTGCAAAAAACGAAGAATGGAGCCATTCTGTATGTTGTGGTCTTGTATGAATTTGTTCCATCCAGATAGCTGAAAACTGGTATCGAGTTTGATGAACCATGTGCGATTTCCATTTCGTATAATCATTGTGTTTGTCCAGTAGTTTCTCAAATGTGGATAGAATGATGGATTAATTCTCTGGAAAGAAAAGGATAAGGTATAGTATAAAGTATGTGGAAATGAAGATATGTAAGCATGAAGTTTATTGGTTTACCAATGCTTCTGGGTTTGCTTGTTTATATTCAACGAGGAATGAGCTTGGTGATGAAGCTGAGATTTTGATAGATGCATAATTTATAGGTAGTGAGTGGAAAATAAATAAGCTATATTTTAGTAAAGAGAGTGTAAAATGTATAGTATGTGAATATAAGAGGAGAAAACTTACTGGATAATAGTTCTGGTGGTGGATAGTTGGATATGAATGATGTGAGCCAATTTGTTGCATCAAAGTGTGATGACCAATGTTGAAGATGGGGTTGAATAAATCTGGAACCTATAGCTCTTATGAAGTTGGTGCTGATTTCATATGTAAAGCTGTTATTGGATATTGGGGTTGCTTGGATTACTTGAAGTGCTTGTCCATTAATAGTATGAAGATAAAACAGGCAAGTTATCAGGAGGTCGTTTTCTTCTATTGTTTCTATTGACCAATCTATGAAAGTTGGTATTGCCATGAGTTTTTTGGGTTGTTTGATTTTAGTTATATTTACTTATACTTATGGTATTTATAGTGGTTGTTGTTGGTGGATAACATGTGATATGAGTGGGTGAATTTTTGTATTATTGTCATATTTTTTTATGTATTATTTTGGTGGACATGTGAATATACAGTAATGGATTGGAAAAAGACAAGAAGTTATTATTTTGTTTTGTTAGTATTTTGATGAAACTGTTGTCATGTGAATATATAATTTTGTTGAGATGTGTCAGATGCATTGGAGTAAAGAGAGCTAATAAACTAACATAAGTAGGGTGGCATATTAATGATGTAGTTTTACATACGTTTCCTAGGAAACCAACAAAAATATATCCTGCTTTTTTCATGTTTACTTTGTACATAAGCAGATGCCAACAAAATGCGATAGATAGTGGCAGGGAATCAAAAGTATGAAGACAGATGCATAGCTGGTTACAGGTGATTTTTTGAAAAGTGTGTCACGTTCAGACAATGGATTTCATGTGAGCTTCTGATGCTTAGATTCCTTGTCAAATTCTTTGTCTAAGCTTCGCTTGGCGGATGGTGCTGCTATTGGAATGGGAGATTGAGGGATATCTGTTGTGTGAGATATAGAAGATCCAGCTGAGGCAATATTTTTGTAGATTGAGCTTGGAGTGGCAGGAGGTGCAGATTCGTCAGCTGGTGTGATGAGGTCTTCAGATGGAGTTATTGTCTGAATTAACTCTTCTGCTTGTGATTCTGGTGTTTTTTGGTCAGTTGTGTGCTCCAGAAGAGGAGGGGTTGATGATTGATCAGGGAGAAAAGCAGTGAGGAAATAGAGGGGCGTAAATTGTCTGTGAGATGGTAGATATGATCTCATCTCACAGAGCAATGTTTGTTTTTCAATTCTTTGATTGATTATATCAATAGGAATTGGGAGCTGCTGCATTATTGTAAAAAAATGTAAATTAAGTAATGGAAATAGCGAAGTGTGTTGAATAGTTTATTTATAGATAAGAATAATGTAATATATACCTTGGTATATCTGTCATAGATTTCAGCAGCAGTCATATCAAGCAGAGTTTCAGCATATTTTTCTTCAGCAGCAACAGATAGGTAGCTAGTGTCGTCATGTATGTTGAGCTGGAGTTTTGCTCTGTAAAAGTGATAAGATCAAAGTTAGGTGATGCATATTATTAGTAGTGTAAAAACGGAATTATATAATTCATTGAACTGAAATACATACTTTGGTTTTGGCTTTGTGTCTTTTGTTTCACAGAAGTTGCAGTCAAATTCAATATCCATCATTGCTCCAGTTGATTTACCGCATGCAGGACAGCTGGGAATAAAAAACTTCTGGTCGATGTTAACTATTGATGGAGTTCCTTTGATCCAGAAGTTTTTGATCTATTGGAAAGAAGAGAGTTAGAAATGATGATCAATGTAAAGAAATTATTTATGTAAATTTTTTGTGGTAGAGCATGTAAGAGGAAAAATGTATGTTACCAGTTCTGAAGAGGCAATGATCTGTGAGATTGGCCTTATTTGAGTATGTGCAGGAGCAAGGATTTTTTGATTGATTTTTTCATAGAGTTTCTGGCTGATGACCTTTTGAATATATGCTCTATTTTCATCACACCTACAATATTTGTTTAAATTTTTGTTATATTTATTTGTTAATGTGAAAGTGTCTGTGATTGAGCATAGGAAAGAAAGAAATATATACCAAGTTTGTAGTGAAGCTGTTTCTTGCAACGGTGGGTCAAGGATGATTGTACTATTGGGACGAGTAGCAATGTCAATTCCTTCAATTGTTATTTGTCAAAAGAGAAAAAGAAGGCAGAACAGAGTATTTGATTAGAGATATTAGTTTTCATGAGTTAATTGAGTTATGATTTTAAAGATAAGTAGTATACTAACCATAGTATGTTGTGATCTTTGGGCGTACAAGCAGAACTATTGGACATGTGTGAATAATGTTCATGAGCTGAACTCCTTCAATATAAATATATGGTTCCCACATGGTGAAGACCATTGGTCTGCATCTGAAAAATATATAGATATTAGTGTATAAAAAAGATAATTTATGATATGGATATTTGATTGAATGAAAAGATGGACTATATGGAAGACTGTTTAGTAAGATAGTGAGGCAAAGGTTTACTCAGGATTAACAGCGATGAATCTGCGAATTGTGCGTGGTCCTCTTGCTGTTGATATTATAGATTCTGGGAATCCTTGAATTAAAGCACAAAGGAGATCTGGACAGATAAGGTCATTCAATAAATATAATCTGTTAGCATTAATAAACTTAAGGTATATATGTTTGTATTAGAAAAATGATGAAAGTAAAGATAGGCTTACTAAATCTGATGGAATCATTGTTTTTATATTTGTCAAGATTCCAGAAGGAAGTTAATGGGAATCGATTGTGCAGGGTCAGCTCATTTTGTTTCTGTGCTTGCTTGATGAAAGTTGTTTTGGTTATGGTTAGTTGCCATGGCACAGAACCAGCTTGGTTTCTTTCATCAGTGATGGCTGAAATAGCAGCATTGCCAATGTAGTAAGTATGGTAGAGATGAAGCTTGGTGTCTGCATAATTTACATCTCTAGTGAAAGCAATTCCTTGGATGGATTCATTCTGTAGAGGAAATGGTTATTAATTAGTTGAAAATGTGATGATAAATAAATTTGAGGATGGAAAATATTTATTTCTATACTTGAAACTTTTTTAATGCTACAAATTTATAATGTTGAATTTACCTGTTCATCAGCAAACATGAAATGCTGGAATGTGTTATGATCTTTTCCTGGGAAGATGTTTGTTTTTTCAATCAGGATGACTTTTATCATCCACTCGCTTGATTTGTCTGTCAAGGTACTGACAGTGGTGCATCTATCTTCCATATCTGAAATATAAAATATGAAAAATATATTGTTAGTGACAGAGATATGTAAATATATAGAGCAAGAAATAAAGGTATTTGTAATTAAAGATATTCAGGTTAAGTACTTAATCATGAGTTGCAGCTGCCAGAATTTCCTGATAAACTACATTGCGTGTAGAATTATGGGATAAAGAATCAGATGCAACAGGTCTAAGCAGAATTTTAACATTATCAGCTGTTTTGGCTCTTGATAATGCAACATACAATTGACCATGTGAAAATACTGGTTCTTTCAAATATAATCCTACAAAATCAAGTGTCTGTCCCTGTGCTTTGTTAATTGTCATAGCAAAACAGAGAGAGATTGGAAATTGAGTGCGTTTGAAAGGGATTGGATATGATTCATCATTAGAGCTATGCAATGGAATGCGAGGAATGAAAACTTGTTTACCAGAATGAATTCCAACAGAAATTTGTGCATGAATAACATTTTTGTTGAAATGTAAACAAATCAAACGTGTTCCATTGCATAATCCTTGTGCAGGATTGAGATTTCTTAGAAGTATAACTGGGCAATTCTGCTTCAAAATCAGTTCATGTGGGGGTAATCCTGGAGGGTGAATAGTAGTTAAGAAGTCACCGTGATCAGCTTGTTTGGTTGGATCTATGGTTTGATCGAAGCTGATGTATTTGATTTCTTCACCTGGGAATTTCTGGATCAAAATTTGGTTGACCTCGTGGACAATATCATTTGTTGTACTGAGAATGACTCTATTAATCATAGCAGAATTGTTGGGCAGAAAGTCAGACAGTGATGGATAAACAATGTTGATGAGGGAGTTTAATGATATTTCATCATTAATAAAAGGAATGATCATAGGAGAAGGTAACTGGATTTTGTCATCTGCAATGGTTGGCTGTGTTCCATCTCCAATGTTTAGCAAAAGATTTGAAAATGATGGGTCCAAAGATGCCCTCATGTTTTCAGTCAGCCGTATCTTTTGAAGGTGTGGCCAGAGATATGAATTGATAAGTGATGCAGAGATGTAATCTTCCTTTTGGCCTTTCCTCACTACTGGAAGAGTCTGCCGAAAATCGCCACCGAAAACAATGATTTTACCACCAAAGATGTGATCACAACTTAACAAGTCTCTAAGAAATCTGTCAAGGGACTCAATTGCATATTTTTTTGCCATTGCTGCTTCATCCCATATTATGAGCTTTGCACTCTTGATTAACTGAGAGATTGCACTTTGTTTAGAAAGATTACATGTGCTGCTGGCTTCATGATGGAGAGGGATTTTGAAGCGTGAATGAGCAGTACGACCTCCTGGAAGTATTGATGCAGCTGCTCCTGATGTTGCAGTTGCTAATGCAATGTCTCCTTTTGATCTAATTGTTGCAAGGAGTGCTTTATAGAGAAAAGATTTTCCCGTACCACCAGGACCATCAATGAAGAATGCAGCTGGAGTGTTTGTATTAACTTTTTCCATTATTTTGTCAAATGCAAATTGCTGTCCAGGATTGAACATAGAGACTGCTGCTAAATCTTCTCTAGAGACAGGTATGTCAGCTTCAGCTTGTATTTCTTTTGTAAGACAGATAGAGCGAGAATCTGGAATGAAGTCTGAGAAACCATAATCCTTTATACTTTTTCCCATTATCTGTAAATATTGATCAATCAAAGCAAGGACTTTCATGATGATTTCATTTTCTGATAAACAAGAGTCTGCTGCAATGTCCTCTGATAAGAATGGTTGAAATCTTGACCAAAGTTGTTGTGGATCAGCTGGTGAACAATGGACCAAGATAACTGCAAATAGCTGCCTTAAACATTGTGGCATTCCGTAGAGAATAGCTTCTGATAAGCATTCTTCAGCTCCGTTGTCTATTTGAAGGAAACCTCGCAATTCTGCAGCTTCTTTAAATGAAGAAGCTAGATAACCATTAACTGTTTTCAGGTCATCAAAAGATGTGGGTTTTCGAACATGCATCAGCAATATTCTGAGATAATACCTCTCTCCTTCAATTGGATGTGCTGCTATAACACGTCCAATGACCTGTCCTCTCTTTCTAGTGTACCATATTCTATCATCTGCATCCCAGACAAAATGCTGAGGGAACTCTTTGTACAGAAGATTGAGGCTTTCTGCATGTTCATTTGTCCGATTCATTGCAAAGAATTCTGTTAGCATTGTTCGTGAAAGCCTATCGTCTGTAATTATATCTGTCAATGGACGATTCTTGTCAAAGCACATTGATTGGTAGTTTTCAAGATGTAAATGAAGCGAAATAACTGATGGATTGATAACACTGAGATCAAAAGCATATATCCTCCAGATAGCTTCAGGTGCACATACCCATCTTGCGGATTGAAAATTTTTTATCTCATCAATGACTTGATTTGCTTGCTCAGCTGTCAACTGGTACATCACCCTATCATGACCCTTGTATATATATTTGTAGATGTACTTTACAGCTTCAATGGCAGAACATATTTCAACATTGATGTGACAGTCATATTTTGCAAGAAGATATGGATTGTAAGGGACAATCCATCGATTATCTAACTCATGTTCTCTGATATAGATCTTGGTGCCATCATCCCGTCTTCTGTAAATAGGATATGAATTTTTCCCATGCTTTATGTACTCTGAAAAATCTTTCGGATAGTTATTTCTGCACTTGTGATTCTGTTTCATACAAGGATTACTTGGATTCATTGATCCACATGGTCCATGAAGCATGTGCTTTATAACCAAAGAATATAAGTATGGTGCCTTGTGTCTATCAGGAAGCTCTGCACAAACAATTTTGTCGTATTCTTCCGGTGAGAACATCTTTGATTGTTCCTTTAAGATGATCAAGAAATGAGCATGCGGCAAACCTCTTTTTTGGAATTCGATAACATAGGTGTAAGCAGCAACACGACCAAAAAGATGTTTCTTGAAAAGATCTTCTTTCAATTGCTCTATTTTTGCACGAAATACTCGTGTTATCAAGTCTGGCCGATTCTGAGCTTCATCTGTGTCAAGCAAATGGTTCTTGATTTCAGGCCAAGATGGATTGCAGGTCATTGTAAGGAAGATATCTGGCTTTCTATAACGTTGTACAAGGGTCATAGCATCCATATATCGCCGTCGCATATCTCTTGGCCCTCCTATAAAACTTGCGGGCAGGATGATACGTTTTCCCACATCTGATGCATTAGTGTTGCCTTTTGCTATGATATCAAGCAATCCTTGATAGGCCTCTGTTCTCAATTTGTTCTGTTTGCTTCTGTGAAATTCAAGGCGTGATGTCTCTAATTTCACATAGGTATCAACAGAATATTGCTGGAATAAACGGCCGATATGCAGCAAGTTTGACTGATCTCCATTTCGCATTTGGAATTTGTAAGCATAATATTCTCTGCATGAGACAGTTGGTCTTTGTCTTTTTTTCTTTTTGGCAGCTGTTAAGATTAGAAAAATGTAAGAAGGAGGTCACTTATATATGAGAGCAAATAAGAATCAAAGAATATAAATATTTGTAATTGGAGTTATACCTGTTTGTTTTGCAGAAAATAGCTGTTCTATATCATTGTATTCATTGATAGAAACCAAATTTTCCTTTTGACAAGTTTGATGGGGTTGTTGAAGAATCTGAGTTTTTGTTTTTCTAAGAATTCCAGGATGCCATCCAGTTTCTCCACGAGCAAATATCAGTGGATACTGTAACGTGTCATAACAACCATAATATTGCTTAACTATTTTTCTATCTCCTGTCTTTGTACATATTTCAATTTCTCTTGACTTGTCTCCATTAACATTGTCATTCTCTGACCAAATTGCTGCAACTTGAGACACTGAAGGAACATTGAAAACACGTTGATCTAATCCAGGATTGGATTTCAGGAAAATTTTGTATTTATCAATCTCTTCAATGTCTGCCAATTTTCGGATAAACATAGAATAAGGATTGTCATCAAGGACAGATTTTAGTTGCTGACCAATCGATTCCTTGAATTTGCTTGACAGAGCCATTCTATTTTGCATCTCATGTTCTGTATCATAAAAATAAAGCTGCAGATTCGATGCTTTTTCACCAGTAGAAGGTTTCAGTGGATTGACAAAATGATAAATCTGTCCTTGAACTCGAAATGTGTAGATGCCTCTGTTTCTTTTGCTCAGCTCTTTGTCATAATGAACTCCCAATGATGTGAAAGCAAACATATTGTTGTAGCTCCTGATACATTGTCTGAATTCAATACTTTCAGGAGTGTTTCCTTTATAAAGCTGCAGCAACTTATCTGGCATTTTTGTTTCTGCTAGACGAACTTCTCCTGATGCACAACAAAATCTTGGCGGTTCCATATAAAACCGTTTAGCATGACAATGTGGACAATCTGGAACAGATGGGAGGATGGTTGGTTCTAATTGTATTTGTTGGAGCAATGGTGTATTTTTTCTGCGGCGTACAGGAGCTAGAAGAATTGAATAGGAATTTTGATAAGTTATAATAGGAGGATAGAAAAGGTTTCTATTATCTATAAAGAGATAAAACAAAGAAAGATGGTATTAAAGACTGCTGTCGCACCAGGCTGATTTTGGATAGTCGAGGATGAATTTGATGATTTTGTCATTAGCGTTGACTGTGCTGAAAATTGATTAGTATGATTTCAGCTATAAAAGTGAGAGAAAACCAGACTGCAACATTGATATGTATTATAATTATATATTATTGAATAGTTATGGAGGTTATTAAAATAGGCAGAAAGCGTACATGTAGAAATGGGACAATTGAACCACTGAGTAGTAATATGAGATGACGGTGAACCAAAGAGATCTTGTAAGACAGGATCATTGACTGCAGGAAGATTGTCTATATATATATATATATATACATATAAATGAATGAAAGAATCATGAATTTAGATAGTATTGAGATGATAGGTAAGCAGGGGGGAAAATTATAGAAAAGAGTGAAAAAAGAAATAGATACATGGATCAATGTCAGATATAGCTGATGTAGATAAGCTATCCAGTACGCGAGGAAATTGTGGAGCAAGCAAGGGAAAGCATGAGGAGGGACTTGGAACAAAAGAGGATGATGGCAAAAGAGCATCAAGAGATTGATGATGCAAAGAGCTGGTAGCTTCTGATGCATTAGTATAAATAGGGACATCAATTAAATCGTCCTCATGCTCTGAAGAAATAGGGACAGAAGAAACATCTGTGACAGTAACAGCATGCGGTGGATGCAGTGGAATAGATTGTGCGTTTTTGGTAGGCATCTGCGTAGCATGCTGCTGGCGTCTGATTATCTCTGCAGCATATCTTTCTCGACGTTGTCGATTATTTTCGATGCGGTATTCATCTTGGGAGGAAAATTTACGTTTTCGAGGCATACTAAATAAAAGTAATGAACACAGAGAAATATATGGTATAATTAACAGCATGAATGATTGTATATGATAGTTGATCAATGAACTCAGGAAAAATGACAAATATAATGGTGCAGAAATCACAATGAGCGTCGACGTAGAAAATAATGTAAAAGATAACATCAGAATAAGAATATAGAAACCTCATATAAGGCAGTAGGATATAGAGCCTCTATAAAATAGCAAAAGGGATATAAAATGATATTGTTACCTTGTATCTGATATCAAAAAGCTATGAAGAAACGGAAGAAGGAGGAGATGACAGAAGAGCCTGTAACTGAAATATATAAAAATGGTTAGTAAAATGAAATGGAAAATAGAGGAGAAAAAATATAACAAGAATATGAAGAAAAATCAACAAAGAAGAATTTAGAGTAAAATGGAATGTCACAGAACATAAAAACATCATGCATGCAATGAATCTAAGAAATAGGGATGGCAAATTAAACAACTATCATACACATCGGTTTCTAAGATGGAACATAGGAGAATAATTTTTTTTTTGAAAAAGTTAAGGGAAGAGATAGTATAAAAGGCTGCTATCAAAAGAAAGCTAACAAAATAAGATGTAGATGACATGAAAATTATAATGGGTAAAAGCACAGACAAGGGTGCTAAAGAAAGCACGTAACAAAAAAAATAAGGAATCTTGCATGGGTAGAAAGCAAGAGATCCAGTAGGAGAGAAAAGCATGCAAGGGAGGTATAAATGCATCATCATAAATAAGAGTAATAAGACATAAGGATAGAAGTACATATCCGACGAAGCTATAAGAAGGAAAAATCACAGAGAGGTTATTAATGGAAGAAAAGCAGTGATTGATGAGATATATAAACAACATAAGCGAAACAAACTAAGTGTAAAATAAAAATAGAGATTTATAGAAGAAAACTAAGAATAAGAGAGTAATTTACCAGGTAGACATTGCAGGAAGAAAGATACAGCAAAATAGGGAAAACAGGAACGAGAGGAACTTGCAGTATAGTTGGATGAAGAAGCTTAGCTGTGAAAGATAGTGGGAAGGAAAGAACCGGAAATAAATTGAATAAAAGTGAAATTTGATCACAATAAAGATCGGACGGCTACAAGAGTGGGAGGAATAAGAATAATTATATTATGAATGGTGATAGGCAATTGCAAGTACCAAACAATCAAGTGGATGCATTTAATGAAGATTAGATAGTGAAAATGATTGATGTGAAAGGAAAATGAAAAAGTAGTATGAATGCAATTAGATGAATAACACGTGGTTAAACAGTAGTTTGAATAGCAAATGAACACATGAGCAGATTAAATATCAATTACACAATGAAAGAGCTGATAATATAAAAAGCAATTGAAGAAAAGAGGAAATCGGCAAGATGGAATTGTATAGAAAAGGGATAAAGTATCAGAATAATTTATTAATTAATGAGTATTGTTAAAATAATATTTTTGAAACAGACACAAGGTATCTTATATTTTTTCAAGCTAATATCTAAGTAATTATTGATTTTATAGAGAATAAGAAGAACTCTGGAACTAAATATAGCGAAAGAAACATTTTTGAAATACAGGAAAATGATCTTAGATTTTTTAGAGAAAGAATGTAATTAATAATCATGTTTTTTGGACAAGCATTTTGGGGAAAAAAGATTTTATATATTTATTTATTTATAGATGGATATTTAGCTAATTATTGTTCTATATTTGCTATATTTGTTTTATGTAAAATATAGGAAAATGATCTTACATTTGTAAGAATAAGAATGTAATGAGTAATCCCTTGTTTAGGCTACGATTTTTTGGAAAACAAAATTGTGTATTTATTTATAAATAGATATGTAACTAATTATTGCTTTATTGTTCTATATTTGCTATATTTGTTTTATGTAAAATATAGGAAAATGATCTTACATTTGTAAGAATAAGAATGTAATGAGTAATCCCTTGTTTAGGCTACGATTTTTTGGAAAACAAAATTGTGTATTTATTTATAAATAGATATGTAACTAATTATTGCTTTATACTTGCTATATTTGTTTTATGATGCTTACGTTTCAAATGTCAAATTACTTATCTTTAAAATGTCAAATTTATAAGCTAATAATTTAATATATGCAACAAAAATTATTAAAATAGGATTTTTGTATGAATATAAGGGAACACAAAATAGAACAATTGGTTTATAATTTATTGGGTAAATAACAAGTTTTTTTCTTGGCTTATTTTGGCGACAAAATGAATATTCAAAGTTTGTACAATTTTTTTGCATGGAAAAAATAAAAATGCAAGCAATTAATATATATATAGATTATAAAGCAAAAGTTTGTAAAAAAGTGATGGCTTAATATGTATTCAAATTTTGCAGAGAATTCATATCCTAATACAAAAATGCACAGAACTAATATATGCATATTGTCAATTGATATGTAAATGGGTGTAAATTCGCAGGAGGAATATAAAAGGCAAAGACCACAAAGTAGAAATAAGAGGCAAAGACCACAAAGTACAAAATTGGGATGTTAATTACAAAGGAACCAAGATAGGAGGGCAAAATTGGAACATAAAAGGTCACAAAATCACAAATCTGGATGGCAATCCTCCAAGACAGCTGAGGGCACGGCCTGTGCAAAGACAGAAGAAGCCAAAATGAGCAAGCAAATTACAAGGAAACCATGACAATTCACTGTAGCGGAGCCTTGGCGGCTTTATGTAGTTTAGGATTTGAATAAAGTAGCTGGAATGTTCAGTAAGTTTCATGAATGTACGAAATCTAAGAGTCACACAATGAACTTAAGAAGACACTTATGCATGTATAAATTCCCTTTGTAATTATCAAATTTTAATAAGAGAAGGAAAAGTGAGTTTTGATATATCCTCTCCCCCCAACAAAGTGGTATCAGAGCTTGGTTCCAAAGTGTGAGAAAAATATAGGAGTGAGAGTGAAATACTGAAAGAAAGAAATGGCAAATAGTGGAAGTACTTCTCTTCAAGTTCCTCAACTTACAACAGAAAATTATGAAAGATGATGTATTCGTATGAAGGCTTTGCTTGGCTCGAAAGATGAATGGGAGAGTGTATAAAATGGCTATGAGGAGGTAACAAATATAGATGAGTTATCCCAAAATGAAAAAGATGCTTTGTCAAAGGCAAAAAAGAAGGATCAATTAGCACTCACACTCATCCATCAAGCTTTGGATGATTCTATGTTTGACAAGGTGGCTGATGCAACCACATCAAGAGAAGCTTGGGAGATATGGAAAACTATTTTCCAAGGAGTTGACAAAGTTAAGAAGGTGAGGCTTAAATCCCTACGTGGTGAGTTTGAAGCTTTGAAGATGGAGTCTGAGTTAATTTCAGATTATTGTACAAGGGTGAAAACTATTGTGAACCAAATGAAGAGATATGGAGAAAAGATAGAAGATGTTCATGTGATTGAGAAGATTCTCCGGTCATTAACTCCCAAATTTGATTATTTGGTGTGTGCCATTGAAGAGTCAAAAGATCTAGACTCAATGACCATTGGAGAATTAGAGGGCTCCCTACAAGCTCATGAAGATAAGATCAAACAAAAACTTGAAGAGCTTTGGAGCAAGTTCTAAAAGCCAAAGCATCTTTGAAGCATGATGGAGAAAAGAGCCAAAAAGGATTTGGCAGAGAAAGAGGACACGGTCGTGGCCGAGGAGGAAGAGGAAATGGTGACAACAAAATTAATAAGGAGAAAAGCTACCAATCATTTAGAGGTTGTGGAAGAGCAAGAGAAAGAGGACGTGGTTACTATCGTAACATGAATGAAAGGAGGTATGATAACTCAAAAATTGAGTGCTACAACTGTCCCAAATTTGGCTATTTTGCTTGGGAATGTTATGATACAGCAAATGTAGAAGATTAGAGGATACTTTATGGAGTAGAGTGAGAGGGAACAAAGTGATAGACTTGCATTAATGGAGGTGACAAATGTCACCCTTGGATTAGTCCTTAAGTAAGACTACTATTCCTTGTCTTACCATTGACCAAATAAATCACAAAAATAACCAAAACTTCACCATTTTCTCTTCATCTTGGCCGAATTTCTTGAGCAACAAAAGGAAGAAAACTCTTCAAGATTTTGGGTTCAATCTTGCTTCAATCAACTTACTCAACCATCCAACCTTGATTTTGCTCCATAAAACCACTTAAAGGAGTGATAGTGAAGTGTTGTGTGGTGTTATTTGGAAAGATAAGAGGACTTATTGCTCTCTCTCTCTTGTTTCTAAGGTGAGTTGTGAAGAACTACTCTCCTCCCTTTATTGATGCTTAAATCATGCTTAGTGGTAGTATGAGATGCCATTTGATGGATTATATTTTGATTTGTGGTTGAATTGATGAACTTTTATAATTTTTGGGGATTTTTCTGTTTTAATATGAAAATGATTGTGTGGCTATCTATGATGATTGGAAATGATGTTTAATGACTCTAGGAGGTGGAAAAAGTGATTAATTGCAACCAATTTCTGGTTTGGAAGAAATTTTAGAAAATTAGGGTTTTGTGAAGAACATTCTGCCCGGTTTTATAGCTCCTAGTTAGAGGCTGAATTGGCCTTGGCTTAAAACATGAAAGTTGTATGGAATGACATTTTAGAGGTGCCTACAAAATTTCAGGTCAATCGGAGTAGCGTAGAATGAGAAAAGTCAAAATTACCCTTGCTGTCCTGGTTTTACCCGAATGTAAGAATTGCACCTGTAATTGGTTGTTTTGGCTGGAATTGCTTCAGAATTGGTTGTTACAGTCTTCTAATGAAATGTAGCCCTATTTCTAACCTTTCTTATGGCTTTGGAATTTCTGGATTTGGACTTATGTAGACTGCTTTATGATGTTTGTACTAGAATACGGTTTGGGAACTTGTTTTGCGATTCTGGTGTAGTATGTTACATTTTTGACGTAGTTACACTCGAAATTGGACTGAGTGGCCTTCTTCAACATTGTAGCCTCTTAAGTCCTA